GGCAGACTTAAATAAGAACCCCAAAGCACAGGCAATAATTCCCAAAACAGACAAGTGAGATTATTTCAGATTAAGAAATTTCTGCACAGCAATAGACACAGTAATTAGTGTGAATCCACAACCCTTAGAATGAGAGAGTATTTTTGTCCAATATGCCTCAGTTAAGGGACTGATAACCAGAATGCACAGGGAACTCAAGTGGCTTACACCCAAAAAAAATGATTAACCCAATTAAAAGATGGAAAAATGAGCTGAACAAAAATCTCGCTAAGGAAAACATACAAATAGCCAAAAAGCATATGAGGGGGAACCAGCAGTTAGCATAATGGCTATGTCACTGGACTCCCACGTAGTCAACTGTGGTTCGCATCCCAGACCTGGTGGCTTAAAACTCACGCCAGGTACGTGTGCGTGCATACCCAAGATCCTGAGTTCAGTCAGAATGGCTAAGATTAAAAAAAAAATGATAAGTGCTGGCAAGGTTGTGGTAAAAATGGAAGTCTCCTATGCCACTGGTAGGAATGTAAACTAGTACAGCTACTGTGCATAACAGCATGGAGATTCCTCAAAAACTCACAAATAGAATTACTGTATGATCCAACAATTCCCCTTCAGAGTATCTATCCAAAGGATACAGAAACACTCAAACCAAAAAGTGCTTGCACATCTATGTTTACTGAGATATTATTTACAATTACTAAGACATGGAACCAACCCAAATATCCACAAACAGAGGAATGGGTTGAAAAAGTGTGGTACATATACACTATAGAATACTACTCAGTCATAAAAAAACAACAAGACCCTGGCATTTGATAGAAAGTGGTTGGATATGGAAGATCTATTGCTAAATGAAGCAAGCCAGGATATGAAAGAAAGATACTGTATGTACCCACTTAATATATACTGACTATTGTGACCATCAGTTACCATAATGGCTATGTCATTGGACTCCCATGTAGTCGACTGCGGTTCGAGTCCTGGACCCAAAGCTTAAACTCATGCTGGGTGTGTGTGCATGCAGGCCCAAGATCCTGGGAGGAGAATGGAGGAGAAGGGATTGCGGTGTGACCATCCCCCCTGGGGGGTGATTTCTCTCTTTCTGTCTCTCTGTCTCTCTCTGTCTTTCTGGTGAGCGCACGCACCCTATAGCAAAAACCTCTCTCAAAAAAAAAAAAAAAATATATATATATATACTGACTATCTACACTTTATGGTAGAGATAGAAATACTGGAGGGCATAAAAGAAGTGAAAACAGCAATTGTAAGACAGTGTGAAATGGGGCGGGAGAAGACATGTGAGGAGCAGACAGAAATAAAGGATTGTCTGTTGATAGTAACATGATAAGTTGCTTGAGTACCCTGTGTATTCTGGATATCAGTCCCTTAACCACAAGATTATGCTATGTATACAAAAATAGAGTTTAAATTGCTTTTCACTTCATCATATATATAATAAGCATACTTGGCTTTCATATTTTGAAGCATAATCTTTAATGTGGAATCCCTATAATACAGTAAGTATGGAAGACTATAAATTACACTTTCTTCATGTATGAAAAACAATTTAAGTTATCTTTTCTTATTAACCTTTGTTTATTAAACATGTATTTTCCTATGGAAAGCAAGACCGAAGCCAGTTCATGGTGTGGTGGTTGAGGTGAATAGATCCTACATGGCTGACCACATGACTGGAGTCTTAAACCAGGTGGCTTAGGGGACATGCCCAGCATGCCCAAAATCTGAAGGAAGAGAGAAATGGAAGAAAAGAAGGGGTTGCAGTGTGACCATCCCCATGTGCTTTTTCACTTTCCCTCTTTCTGTCACTCTTTTTCCTCTTGAGGCAGCATGCATTCTCTGACAAAATTTTTTAAAAAGATAAGACTACTGTGAATCTAAATATCTGTCTACATTGATCAACATTTCTTCGTGATAAAAATACTTCTTCATAAACTTCTGACAGTAGACTACTGGTCTGCATCTGTTGTTTCTCTTCAAGTCTAATCTAGAGTTTTCTGTCTGTCTCTTTCTTCTTTCCCTTCCTCCTTCTAGATCTTTAACTATATTTGAATCTTTGTGAATATGAGAAGCCACATAACTGCTTAATTAATATTTGGTATGTAAAATATCAATTACTAATGAAGGTAATTAATTTTTATTGATACTGTATCATTATTACAAATTTTGTGTTTATATATGTTACCGTTTTTCTGTTGGGTTTTCAAGCTTTAATTATAAGAGAACTTTTTATAGAATAATTAAAATAATTTTCGTCTTCTACTGACTTTTCCTGTTTATTATCTTATTTTTTTCTGTTTAGATTTATGCTTAAAATGCCCTTTTTGTCCAGAATTCAGAGAAGTCCTATATTTTCCTGATTTTCTTTATGACAGAGATAGTTTTTAAACTGGGATATTACATGAATTTTTATTAATATGTGTAGTAAAAACAAGGGCATGGCAGAAATCATAGAGTTGAAAGATTAATAAAAGATGAAATGATAATAAGATAAGCTTCAAAATATGATACTAGTGGGTCACTGCACATAGGAATTCATCCTGATGGGAACTGTCTACTCTGGCAGCTTTATTCTTCCAGTTGATTAGCTGTCACATGTAGCAACTTGGTAGGTTACACATTATCATAAAACTTTCAAAATCAGATGTAAGACCAAAGCATATTATAGCTATTTCTTTCTCAGAGACCACTTGAAACTAATAGCGACTCTTAAATTCTTCTAATCTCTTTAAACATTGCACATTTTGCACCAAGTTTAAATTGGTAAACTATCTCATTTTATTTTACATTTTCAGAGATGACCTAAGCACAGAGTTCTTTATGAAGACCTATGCTTGAATAAGTTCTGCTAGAATGCAGAATCAGGAAGGAAATAAATTTAGGAGTTCATATTCACAACAAGGTCAAACTCATTAGAAATAAAAAATAAATTGATACTTAAACAGTGGAACAAGTTCCTTTTATATAATCACTTTTTACATAGCAGATTCTTCTGTGACACAAGTTATGTTTCATATCCCTTTCAAGAATTTAACAAGAGAAAGAGTATACTTACCTGAAGAAATTTAGGTTTACTTATGTAATAATATGATGAATTTTCATATTTATAATTAATAAAAGAATCATAGTTTGTTACTATTATTAAATATACTAAAGAACAAAATAGAAATGGGACTATATGGAAGACAATTTTAATGTTAATTGTTTATTTTTTCCTATATCACAAAAAATAAAAACTTACTTGACTAATAGGACAAGAATCATGTACATTTGAAAGACAAGACCAAAAATAACCTAAATTAAAATGGTTTTTGAAGCTTCTTTATTTTCTCTTGTAATCTTGGTACAGAAATATAGACTCTTCTCATAGAATGAAAAATATACTTCCTATTAAATTCACGTTTCTAAAGAAATCACACAGATGCAGTCAATGCAAGTTAAAATTAATTAGAAATTGCTTCAATTTACATTTTTACTGTCATATCTACACATGGAAATCACAGAATGCTGGGGCTTTTCAACACGTGACAATTATTTATTTGTAAATAATAATTTTAATTGTTATTTTGGGAAAAATTATGGGAGAATCAGTAAGATTTAAAGTTATTTTAGGCAAGAATGAATAGACTATAATTTCAAAATGACGGTGAATCATGCTGAAGAATGAAGCTCATTGAGTTTATTTAGATTAGAGGTCCATCATGCAGACACAGACAATTTATGGTCTTGGGTGTACGTACCTAACACCCAAGACAAAGTACTGTTTTTTTTTTACTTAAGTTTTTGGCATAAAAGATTATTTTTAATGGGTAGAAAAAAGAAGGGAAGAGTAAATATCACAACAAACTAATAAATTTAAAGACAAAAATGCTGTAAAAAATAAAGACTTGGGAAGTCATTCTCTGACCTTATTGAGGCTGAAAACAAACTAAAATAAGTGGAAATATAAGCAAAATGGAGTTCTTTTTATTTATTTTTATTTTATTTTTTATACATTCAATTACCTTTTTGAGCTTACAAAGTGAATATTTCAATATGTGAACATTTCTCTCTAGTCCAGTTGATTAAACTATAAAATATCTTCAACAGTTAATACCATATTTCTTTGTCCCATTAAAGCTTTGCCTCCATATTTTTCTTCTAAATGTCCTTCCTCAGACCCTGCTCTTCCACACACACTATATATATCTTGTATTTACACCCATTTATTATGTTTGTATATCCTTTAGTCAATCACTTTCAGTCACAGAGTGCGGACACTCAGTATATATTAAAGTGCGGACACTCAGTATATATTAAGTGGGGACATACGATGTCTCTCCTTAATAGCCTGGCTTGTTTCACTCAGCAGTAAATCTTCCATATTCTTACACTTTCTGTCAAAAGCCAGTTTTTTGTTTATTTTATTTTTTTAATGGCTGAATAGTATCCCATAAAGTACATGTGCCACAGTTTTTCAATCCATTCATCTGTTCGGTGGCATTTCAGTTGGTTCCATATTTTAGTAATTGTGAATAGTGCTGCAGTAAACATCGATGTGCAAGCACTTTTCCGATGAAGAATTTTTCTGTCCTTTGGGTAGATACCAAGGAGTGAGAATGCTGGATCATACAGTAGCTCTATCTGTAGATTTTTGAGGAATCTCCAAATTGTTCTCCACAGTGGCCGGACCAATTTATATTCCCACCAGCAGTGTAAGAGAGTTCCCCTTTCACCACACTCCTGCCAACACTTATCAATTTTATTTATTTTTTTTAATCTTAGACATTCTGACTGGGGTTAGGTGGTGTCTTATTGTTACTTTGATCTGCATTTCTCTTACAATGAGAGACATTGCACATTTTTTCATATTCCTTTTGGCTATTTGTATGTCATCTTTGGAGAGTGTTTTATTTAACTCATTCTCCCATCTTTTAAAAGGGTTGACCATCTTCTTTCCAAACAGCTGCTTGAGTTCCTTGTGTATTCTGGATATCAGTCCCTTATCTGATGCATAATTTACAAAAACATTTTCCCATTCTGAGGACTGTAGATTCACACTAACTACTGTGTCTTTCAATTAGCAATAATCGCGCCTCGGATAAACCTCATTGGCTACGATACTGCCACTGTGCAAAGCTACTACTGTGTCTTTTGCCATGCAGAAACCTTTTAGTTTGATGTAATCTCATTTGTCTATTTTGGGGATTATCGATTGTGCTTTGGGGATCTTATTTAAGAAGTCTTTCTTGGGAACCAGCAGTTAGCGTAATGGCTATATCGCAGGACTCCACGTAGTCGACCGCAGTTTGTGTGCCGGACCCGTTGGCTTAAAACTCACGTCAGGCATGTGTGCGTACGTGCCAAAGATCCCGAGAGGAGAATGGAGGAGAAGGGATTGTGGCATGACCATCCCCCCTGGGGAGTGATTTCTCGCTTTCTGTCTCTCTGTCTCTCTCTGTCTGTCTAGCGAGCACATGCACCCTAAAGCGAAAACCTCTCAAAAAAAAAAAAAAACCACAAAAAAAGAAGTCTTTCTCTACCCCAATGTCTCCCAGAGTTTCCCCAATGTTTTCTAGGAGCAGTTTTATAATTTGAGGCCTTAGAGTTAGATCTTTGATCAACTTTGACTTAATTTTTGTCAAAGATGAAATGTAGGAGTTCAGATTAATCTTTCTGGAGGAGGAAATCCAGTTTTCCAGCACCATTTGCTGAAGAGGTTTTCCTTTTCCCACTGGATTGACTAGTACCCTTGTCAAAAATCAGTTGACTGTATGTTTGGGAATTTATTTCTGGGGACTCTATTCTGTTCCATTGGTCTGCATATCTGTTTCTGTGCCAGTACCATGCTGTTTTGATTACAACTTTGTAGTATACGTTTGGGTCAGGGAGTGATATGCCACCCACTCCACTCTTCTTGTGTAGAATTACTTTGGCAATATGGGATCTTTTATGATTCCAGACAAATTTTATGATTGTCTTTTCTAGGTCTCTGAAGAATGTGTCTGGTACTTTGATTGGCATTGCATTAAATATGTAGATTAGTTTGGGTAGAATTGCCATTTTTATTGTATTGCTTCTTCTAATCCAGGAACTTGGGATGTCCTTCCACTTTTTTGTGTCATTTTCAATTTCTTTTTTAAGCTTCTCATAGTTTTCCTTGTGGAGGTCTTTAACTTCTTTGGTTAGTTTTATTCCTAAGTATCTTATAGATTTTATGGCTATGGTAAATGGAATAACTTTTTTCAGTTCTATCTCAGTCTGCCTGTTGTTCATATATAGAACTGCTATAGATTTCTGTATATATCCTGCAAGTTTACTGTATTTGTGTATTACGTCCCGAAATTTTTTCATGGAATCCATGTATCATGTCATCTGAGAATAGAGTTTCACCTCTTCTTTTCCTATTTGAATGCCTTTTATTTTATTCTTGTTTCTGATTGTGTTGGCGAGGACTTCCAGTACTATATTGAAAAGGAATGGAGAAAGTGGGCATCCTTGTTTTGTACCCGTTTTTAGTGGGAAAGCATTCAGGTTTTCTCCATTCAGGATGATGTTTGCTATGGTTTTTTCATAGACAGCTTTTATTGTGTTGAGAAATGATACTTTTATGCCAATTTTGCTGAGTCGTGAACATGAAGGGAAGTTGTATCTAACCAAATGCATTTTCTGCATCATATGACCATACAGTTTTTATCTTTCTTCTTGTTAATATGGTGTATTACAGTTACAGTTCTGCATATGTTGAACCAATCTTGAGTTCTCAAAGCTGCTTGGGGCAGGTGACAGAATTTTCTTTGGACACTATAAGGGGTAACAACAGCAAGACGAAAAAAGGGATGATATATGTAAATTACTTAGGGCCATTGAAATTAAAAGTCTCAGAGCACAATCTTGTTCCCTAAAAAATAAGTCACATTTATACTTTATTAATACCAATGTAAGATCTAGGATAGTAGACCCAAATTTCCTGTGACATCACGGATGAGGCAGAGGAAAGCAAATATGGTCCAACTTATGGGATTTTAGAAGAGTCTGAGTTTCCATTATTTTATTGTAAATATCAGGCAAGTATGATTTTTATTGACATTTCAGGATTTTTTGGAAAATATGGACAAATATCTGAACACATTTAAGAAGTGTCATATTAACATGAAATAACAAATTATCATGGCTTCAGTTCCAACATTTTAGAGAAAAATATGCACAAAGGAGATCTTAAAACTGTGCTGAGATCTATGGTAAGAGTGACTACAGAATTTATTACCTCGTCCAAGACACTTTTTTTTTCTTTTTGGAGGTGTTTTTCCTATAGGGCACATGTGCTTCCAGAAAGACAGAAAGATACAGAGAGACAGAAAGCGAGAAATCACCCCCCCCAGGGGGATGGCCATGCCACAATCCCTTCTCCTCCATTCTCCCCTCGGTATCTTGGGTAC